TAACTGTGATGGACGTACCCGAATCCAAAAGGAAAACAATAATATTAACATGTTTGCCACCACAGATTTATTCTGCACTGGAAAATTTATGCTTGCCTGCATACCCAAAAGATGACTCAGTTACCTACGAAGATATAGAGGAAAATATCATGAAGCTTTTTAAACCGAAGTCATTGTTAATACTACGGTTTGAATTTGCAACTAAAAAAAGCAAGTAACAAAAGTGTGACAGAATTTTCACAATGAATCGCAAGAGCTGCTGAAGGATGCAAATTCACGAATAGAGATGATCGAATGCGCGACCAATTCATTACGGGTTTTAACAATGGTGTTACAATCAAACGATTATTACTGGAATCTGAAGAACTAACGTTTGCAAAGGCTGTGGAAATTGCTGTTAGCCTTGAACGAGTAACCCAGGAAGCTCGACAATTAGATGGTTCCGATAATGTAATGATTGCGGCAACATCATTACTTCCACGGACATCTAGTGTGTCCGACACGAACAAAGTTACATGTTTCAATTGTGGGAAACTTGGACATTTTGAACGGGACTGCGAAGCAAAATGCAAGACTTGTTCACACGATCATCAAGCTAAAGACTGCTTCAAACGATTGCAAAGTTTAAAAGGAAAAGGGAGAATTTGGAAATAATGGCATCCAGTATTCTCCCAGAAACGACGTTGCCATCATTAAAAGTGAAAATAAATGGAATGCTCCGAACAGCATTAATTGATTCTGGATGCTCCATCACTGTGATTCATGCTAAATCCACGCATGGTCTTGTTTTAAAAAGTAAAAAACATATCACAACTTTGGGAGAAGCTGTGCTATAATCAAATTGGAAATTGATGGAATACACCAGATTGTTAATTCTATGGTTGTAAAAGAAAAACCATTCGGGTTTGATTTGATTTTTGGAATGAATGGGATTGAAAAATTTGGAGGAGTCATCATTTATGGTAATAAAAACCGTACTGTCCGAATGTTAGCATGTGACACAGCGAAATGTGGTGCCGTTACTACAACGATAAAAAACAAAAACAAAATAAACGAAATAAAATGTGATGTCAAAAATACAAATGAAGAAAATAAAAGAAATGAAATAAAATATCAGGACTTCGCAGCAAATTTTGATGGGAAAAAGTGGACGGCATCATGGAACTGGAATAAAGAGCCTGTAATTGATAATACCATTTGTGAATACAAGATGAGTCACGAGTACGAATGTAGTTACCGCAAAGAAATAAATGAATGGATTAATTCTGGCATTCTTGTACCATATAACGAACTAACAATGGGACCACCTAAAGTATACGCTAATGTGCGTAGTGGAAGAAAATAAGGGCAAAAAGGTACGTCCAGTGGGAGATTTTCGAGCTCTCAATGAATTTGAAAATTGTCATACAGCGAATGCGGACGTTTGTCAAGAAAAACTGCGTTGTTGGAGAAAAATTAAAAATGCAAAAATTCTTGATCTTAAAAAAAGCCTACCTCCAAATTCATATTGATAATAGACTCTGGCCATATTAAACGGTGATTATAAATGGGAAACGATATTGTTTTACTAGAATGTGTTTTGGCATTAACGTGGCTCCAACAATAATGACCACAATTCTTCGGCATGTGCTCAATTTAAATCCAACTGTAAAGAAAGCATGTGATTACTACACTGATGGTAAATTTGTGGATGAAAGTGTGGAAACTGCAGAAAATGTAGCGAAGCATCTGCATAAATTCGGGTTACAATGTAAACCTCCACAAAATCTTGAACAAGGACATGTCTTAGGATTGAGAGTCGAAAGAAATAAAAATGGGGAACTGATATGGAAACGAGACAATGTGGTACAATTTGAATTGTTAAATGCAGTCACACGATCGCAGCTTTTTAGCAAGTTAGGTAACTAATTGGACATTACCCAGTGGCATGAAGTTTGCGTTTAAAAGCTTCATACATCAAACGTTTAGCTGGAAATATACCTTGGTGTGATTTTATTTCAGAAGATTGTAAAGAAAAACTGAAAGATTTGCTTCACCATGTAGAAAAGGAGGATCCGGTTGGTGGAAAATGGTTGGTACCAGTGAATGGAAAAGCTGAGCTTTATAGTGATGCATCATCTATAAGACTTAGGGTAGTTCTGCTCATTGGTGGAGTAGTTGTTGAAGACGCAGCATGGCTACAGCCAGCAAGTGACACACACCATATCAATATAAGTGAACTGGATTCGATACTTCGAGGACTAAACTTAGCTAGTAAGTGGGACATAAAAGAGTTAACAGTATACAGTGATAGCAAGAGCACCGTAGGATGGTTAAACGCAGTTTTGAAGGAGGAATATCGCGTAAAAACTAGTGGAATTTCTCAGTTGTTAGTACAAAGACGGGTAAATACTATTAAGGAAGTGGCAAAAGGTATCCAGATTGTAGTACAATGGATTCCATCCGAAATAAATTTGGCTGATCGACTCTCACAAATCCCTCAAAAATGGTGCAGAAGAGTGTGTGCAGTTGGATTACCTGAACAAAAAGACATATAGAAAATTCATTCAATTGGTCACTTTGGTGTCACTCGAACATTACAACTTTGCTTGCGAAATAACCAGTATGTATCACGTAAGGAGGTTTCAGCAGTAATAGCAAATTGTAACCAGTGCAACTCCATCGATCCTTACTCCGTACAGTGGAAGCATGGTCAACTAAGCGTAGAAAAAAATTGGAATTGGGTTGCCATTGACATGACACATGTAGGTGCTGAATTGTACTTATCGATGATTGATTGTGGTCCATCACAATATACAATATGGCGTAAACTAGTAACAAAAACAGCTGCTGAAGTTGTTGGTAAACTTGAAGAAATATTCTCTTTATTTGGACCGCCAGTATGTCTGCTAATGGACAACGAATTTCGGTCCAACACGTTAACAAGCTTTGCTGAAGAATGGAATGTTAATTTGGAATATCAAGCAGCACATCAAGCTCAAGGTAATGGTATAGTTGAACGCATACACAGGACAAAAAAAAGAACAGTTGCTCGCTCACATTGTTTAATCGCTCTGGAAATTTTGCTGTACAACGCAACAATATCATCCAATTGTACTGAAAGTCCATCCGAGCAATTCAAGAAAAAACCAACTTGTTTCATCCCAGGTATTCGGAAGAAAACAGACGATAAAGGCGTCAATACGAAATTCAAAGAGGGAGACAAGGTGTGGGTAAAGCCAACTCAAGAAACAAAATGTGACCAACCGTGAATACCAGGTGTAGTGCGAAAGAAAAATACTTTATCGTTTGACGTCGAATATGCAAATTGGGTATATCCGAGTCATATTTCACACCTGCGTCGCCGTACAGACCTACAGAGTTCAAATAAATCAGTCAACGATGTTTTTTACAGACTAAAAGATAAAAATGATAACGCTAAAGGAAGATATCACGATGATGTTACTCAAATTCAAAATGATTCTCAAGAACATGTGCTGCAAGTAAAACGCTCCGGACGAACAGTAAGGCCCCCACAAAGATTAGACTTATGTGTTAATTCACCAAAAGGGCATATTCTCTTTTTTATTTTGGTGAATTGTGCATGTTGAAAATCACGTAAATACATGTTGAAAGTCATGCGTTATTTCAATTGTAATTAAAAGTATTCTTATGGGACTTTTTGTGATTTTATATATATAGAGACGATTTTTGTATAGAATGAGTGAGGTTAAAAGAAAGCAATAAAATAATACATTTTGTTTATTCAATTCATGGATGCGACAAACCAACACTATTTGGTTGCTTACTTTTGTCTCTTACTAAAAATCAAATTTACAAATAATTCCTTTGTCTCCAATACTTTTTTTTATCAGAATTTTAGTTCCGAAAAATAAATACTACAATTCTATTTTTTTTTGAAATTTTTCATGTGTATGGGTTTATCACTTTTACTAATAATAAACCCAATGATGTAGTAAAATTTTTAATTTGGTTCAATTCTCATTTCTGAATTTTATTCTCTTCTAGTATTAGAAGTTTTCTTGAATGTAGTTGCCATAGTTGCAGATGCAGTTTTTTAATAACTGTTTTTTATTGCGATTTTTTTTAACTCCAACTTCATAACACAAATCTTGATCAAGAAGGCCACTGCATAACAATGTTTGACAAGTTAAACGCTGTACTACCAGAGATTTGGTGGGGATCAAACTCAGAACTTCTTGCTTACAAAACTATTCTAGCACCGCTACTGTAGTTGAGCAACATCAAACACTTTTAAAAATGCCAAACATCAAACATTTTTAAAACATGTTTTAAAATTAGATTTTAATTTTCAAATGAACTACAGCAAAATTGAGGTTTTACGTAACATGCAATGTTGCCATGCAACATACAACATAAACTCATACTTTACTATACTTCAATTTCAATATTTGTGATTTCAACATTATGAAAAAAATATCTTTTAAGCATGTGGCTATTTTGTGACATCTGTTTTTTTCTGTTTGGATTTCATAAAATTGTGTTTATTTTTAGCTAACATAGTAAACATAGAAACTTCTTGAACTTTCATTAAACTCAAGTTGAAGGGTGCAAACATGTTGCTTTTTTATTATTAATTTACATTTAAATTTATATTAAAAATATATATATATGCCTGAACTCAAACCGAGCTCACTAAAACTGAATACCATCACTTTTATTTAAACATAAATTTATAGCTAATTTAAATTTCAATAAAAAAGCACTCCTTCCTTATACAAATAAAGTTCAATTTTGGATTATATATCATAAATAAAGTATTTCATATTTTAGCTGAATAATTCATCTTGTATAATGTATATGTACTTTTTCATACAACAACATATAATTCAAGTTAATTACAAACATGCTCAAATGCAAAAAGCTTTAAGAAAACACTGTTAAAAATAGATTCTTATATGTTTAAGACAATGTAAATACGGTTATAATTGCTTCATAAAATTTAAAATTATTTAATAAAAAAAAAACATAATGCTTACTATAGTAAAATGTTATTTGTGGGAATTCGTGTCTATTTCGAAAACACACAAACTGTCTTGTTGGATTTTTGAATTGCAGACGAGGAAGATCTCTAAGTACAAAGTCTCTGAAAACATTTATAATAATTATTAATATTTTCTAATAATATAAATCCATCCAATCAAACCGATACCGAAATGCACCAAATAAGAATGACTTAAAATTGTCTATAAAAGTTTTATGGACAATTAAATCAAAATAGTTATAAATTTTCATATAAAATAAAAGCAAATTGAAATTTAATACTTTTATAGCAAAAATCATACATGATGTTTATAAAATTAATTTTCAATATAAATTTATTAAATAAAGTTGCACCTTACCGCAAACCCTTGCCAGAGTTATCTGTTGTAAATGATACTGAAATGACTTGAATTCTTTTTTGTAAAATGATAGTACCACTGCTCAAAAACTCAATTGTACGTCGGAAGGGAAACTTTCCTTTCGCCATATTTTTGAGGTTTGTAAAAATGTTTGAGCATGTAAATAAGTAGTATAGAGAAAAAAACTCTGAAAATATAAATATAATAAACAATAAAACAAAACACTATTATTTTTTTAAATATAAGTTTAACATCCATGCTTCCACAATTAAATATTTTTAACAGGTTTTTTTATAATGTAACTAATGGCATTATAAAAAATTTGGATGTCATTCCTGATGTTATTTTGCAGATTAGATCTGAGTGTTATTATTGTAATACTAGATTGACAAGCTACTCTTACCTTACCCAAAATAAAAGTTTTGGGAATTTTATATAAAAAACCTTTCTCCTAGGTAAGGAGAAGATAGACCACAGCTAAGGAACTTCTTTTATTCCCATGTAGATCATTTTATTGTCATGATCAGGAATATAACAAATAAAAATAAAAGAAAATAATTCATTATTCAATAAATCATTATAATTTTTTAAATTTAATAAATGTTAAAATAATCAATAAATTAAGTTAAGAACCCCTTTGTGCTACACTTGTATGAAGATCCTTTATACATTTCAATATTTACAAGATTTGTATTTGTATGCACATAAGAAAAAGAAAAACAAATTATTATAAAACAAGTTATTATCAATAAATTTCATACAATAAAGCAGAAGCTACACTTAAAATTGTGGTATTTAAATAAATTATTACTTTTTACTTATACTAAACTGAATAATTAGAAATGTATAAAAACATTAGAAATGTTAAAGCACATTCAAAAATGACTGGGAAAAAAATTGTTTACATATCTATTACATTAAATTCAGAACAACCGATGTTAAATAAAAAACTTCAATAGGTGTTGAAAAAGAACAAGAAAAAAAAAAATCTTAATTTAATTAACATAAATTAACATTAAGAACAAAAATAACAAGCTTTATTAAATAATAAGCTTTTTTTCTATTACAAAATATATTTAAAAAATCTTCAAAATCAGACCTACAATGCTACGTAAGTAGTTGATATATAAGTCTTCATACGTCTTATAAAAAAGACAAAAGATGTTTTAAAATAAATCTATGGACACCCCACCATCATCATTAGGAAAAACAAAATATGTTTATAAGATGATAGTGGGTTTAACCTCAGCAACCAGTAACAGAAGGATCATCACCAGATCGCTTTGTTTTTTCCAAAGTGGTAAATATCTACAAAAATTCAAATTTAATGTATATAACTTAAACATCATAACTTATTAATTAGAATCAGTAATACTAAAATAAATTGTAATTAAGCCACTAACCTCTGCATTTGTTGGGTGAATACCTATTAGATCATCTAAATGTTGCTTTTTTGCACCAACTTTAAAAGCAATAGAAAAACCTTGTATTATTTCACCAGCATTTGGACCAAGAACATGCATACCCAAAATACGCTCCTATTGTATAAAAATGTAAAAGTTTAAACTTGAAATAGGTGCTAGTATTTATTACTAGAAAAGAAAACTTATTTTTATATTGTGTAAAAATGATTACATTATGAAAAATCAATTTAACACTGTTAGAAAGGTTAATACAGCTATTAGATAAGTCAATAGAACTATTAGATTAAAAGAAACATAAAAGAAACTTAAAAGAAACATTGTAAAAAAAGTTTTTTAAGTCTATTTAAAATGTTAATATAGAATTGCACAATAGTATTTTTTTATTTTCTTATTTATCTTGTGTTATTCACCTCCTATAGGTGGAGGAGAAGTACTTTTTTTTCATTGTTATGGTTACAACCCTCTCTTAACTTTTTAACTCCAAAACACAAACTTTGACAAATAATGTTGCATGGAGAAACAAGCTACAACGTGGTGGGGATCAAAGCTAGCAGTCTACGTCTACCTTATTATGGCATTTATATTTTTATACTCTTTTATATTTTAGTAGAAGATTTTGATCTCATTGAAAAAGTCATAACTATATAAGTAGTAAAAGTGACAGGCAGAAAATCATAATGTAGCTTGAACTAAGTATTGTGACTTTTTTTTTTCCTGTTTTAAATTACATGCAGTTAATATAATGTTTTAGATTTTTCTTAATATGAAGCATAAGTTAAAACTAGACTTATATATAAAACAGTATTGTACAAAAAAAACCTAATTGCACCAGGGATTTTTAGAAACACTGTTAAAAATATAATTTAAACATCTGTGTCAAAAGAATACAAATAAAAAAAAGTTAACAAAGCTGTAGATAAATTAACTTAGGATTGCTAGATAAGTTAAAATGAAATAAAAATGAAAGTTTTGAGGAAACTAACCTCATCTTTTTTATTACAAATAACTTTTGCATAACAAACATTATCTAATCGATGAGGAACAGTTGCTTCAAGAGGAGTGAAATTAGAATGATAAACTTCAATATTGTCTTCACCATACTTCTCAATAGCTGTTTCTTCTGATAAACCACAAGCCCCATACTCAAGAGGAGTGAACACTGTAGTTGCAACATTGGTATAATCACACTATAATGAAATTTACACTTATACAACATTAAAAAAAAATTATACTTGACTTTTAATAATGCATCTAACAAACTCACAAACAAAACACCACTAAAGTGATATTATTTGTTAGTGACATAATAATGTGTTTAGTCCAATAAAAAATCAATATTTTTGATTATACTGTTGACCTTATTGTCAATTTGTTTAATAATATTTTATGAAATAAATAGTACAAATAAATACAATAAAAAGTACAAATAAATACATTATAATATTATAACTCTGAAATTCTTAGAATGTTGATCAATAATACATCTTGATATGCTTGATTATAATTTATATATTATACAATTACATATTAAGTAGCATTACAAACAAATTTGTTTTTGTTTTTTTTAATTTTATTTAAATTTCAATCAGTTCCTGACTCTTAACTTCAAAACAAAAACTTACTCGACAATCAAGTACACTGTAGAGAAAAACAAATTAGGCACAGTTACTACCAAGAACATTTTGAGTATTAAACTTCAAACTTTTCACTTATAATTAGGGATTCCCAATCCGGATTTTAAAATTTTGGATTTCCAAAATTCATTTGTTTTTATTAAATTTGAAATTCCGGAATAGAAAGAAACCAAATTCTGGATAATTTGGATTTTCCTATCATTAGTTTTTTTCAAATTCAAATTTTTTGTAGTTTTGCTTAAAAGCGAATCCAATGCAAAAAGCAAAAAACTGTAACAATTTATTTTTATTGAAACAACAGTGAAATTTTTTTATTGTGAAATTGTGAACTAGCAGGTTGTGTAAGTTTACACTATATTTAATAATATTTGTTATATAGCATTTATTATATAAGCCCAGTTAAATACATACGAGGTAAGTTTTATTATTATTTATTGCGTATACTTAATTTTAATCTCTAGGATGTCCGATCAGTAAGATGAAATTTTTATAGATGTATTCAAAAAGAACCCATTAAATTTGGTGTGGAATTATTTTTTACAAGGGACAAAAAATCAAGTAGTGACGTTCATACAGTGTAAGCAGATTTAAAAATATTAGGCGGATGTACGACACCATTACATACCCATTTGCAAGCAAAGCGTAACAAGGTATTAAACCAACGAAAAATTGATAATGATTTAAGTGTTGCTGGTACAAGTGCTGTTAATTTAAATAGAAAAAGCAAAACTTCAAAATATTTTTATAATACAAAAGTTGACAAAAGTTTTGCTGCAATGTGGACATTTATATAAAGCAAAATGGAATACAGTATCACAGATATAGAAAAATTTGATACCAGTAAAATTAGCTGTATACCCCTCGTGCTGACATTAACTTAATTTCTGCGGACATTTATGTTACAAAATTTAGGTGAGGATAACAAGATTGGTCTTGCATTGAAAAAAGAGCTAAAAATCCAAGTTAACATAGAAGAATTATTTAATCTGATGTTTTACAGTATCTGCATAATGAAGATAAGGGGAAAAAAATTTCATAAGAGCATTTCCGTTCATTTTAAAACGGAAATAAAACCTCTCCCTTTAATTTTTTCTAGTATATAAAATCTTTACATATGTATAAAATATCTATAAAATCTCAAAAGTGCAGCCTTAATAATGTAACTTCTCTGGAAGTCAATTCAATGAATTCTGAGTCTGATTCTGATATAGATACTGAACATGAACCTAACAAAAGTAAAACTGAACATTGGCAAAATTGCCACTGCAAAAAATCTAGCAGTCACTTTTACAATGGAGAAACAAGAAGAAAAAAATCAATTCAACCACTTTTAGAAAATATTTATAATAATTTGTTGCGTATTCCTCCAACAAGTGTTGTAGCAGAGAGAGCTTTTTCTACTACTGGAACATTTTCAAAATAATCAGGTCAAGACTTAATGATACAAAATTGGATAATTTGTACATATAAGAAGCTTTTTAAAAAATCAAAATTAAAAAAAAATGTTTTTGTATACTATTTTATTTTTAACATTGAATTTGTTTTGTTTTACTGAGATACTTAAAACAAATTTAATTTTAATTAATTTGAAATACTTTTAAACTTTTTTTTCTATTTAATTTTTTTTGCAGTTCCGAAATTATACCTGAATTCCGAATTTCATTTTATGTAATTTCCAAAAGTCCAGTAATCATTTTTCAATAAAAATTGGATTCACTACTTACAATGTTAACGCTCTACTTGTACACTACTACTTTATAGTAGTGTAATGGTGCTCTTGTACTACTTTATATAGTAGTAGTGTAATGGTGCTCTTGTACTACTTTATATGGTAGTAGTGTAATGGTGCTCTTGTACTACTTTATATGGTAGTAGTGTAATGGTGCTCTTGTACTACTTTATATGGTAGTAGTGTAATGGTGCTCTTGTACTACTTTATATGGTAGTAGTGTAATGGTGCTCTTGTACTACTTTATATGGTAGTAGTGTAATGGTGCTCTTGTACTACTTTATATGGTAGTAGTGTAATGGTGCTCTTGTACTACTTTATATAGTAGTAGTGTAATGGTGCTCTTGATACTAGTAAAATATGTTAGTTGCAGAATGAGGATGAGAAGTGAATAAGTTCATGCCACTATAAATTCTATACAAAGCTAGAAATCTTTCTTTTAATTGGTGTATTTACAAAGAAGCATGTTTAATTGTTAAAAAGTAGTTAGAACAAGCATGGTTTCATGCAAAAATGAAACCATCTGCTGGATAAATTCAAATCAAATTATCAAAAAAACTATTTTTAAGGAGACACATTTTAGAAAAGCAGACTGGATTGTCCTCAATTTAACTTTTATACTTTGCTTTTTAAAATATAACAAATAAAAAACTGATAAGACCACCTCCAATATTGCCAATACATTGTTTGCCAACCACAACTACATCCTGCGAACCATTAACATCTGTACTTATAGGTGAGTGTACAATAATGACAAAAAATGTTGCTATTGTGTTATTTGGAGTTAATTCAAATAATAAGTTGTTTAAAAACTTACTGTAACTTTTGAGCCATTAAAAAGTCGCTTTGCAAGGAGCTTTCCAGCTTGTATAGCAACTGGGGTCAACTCTGGTTTTCCATCCAAAATATCTCCAATTCCATATATATTTTCAATATTTGTTCTATCATACTCATCTGATATTAAAAATCCATTCCTGCATAATAATATGATACAGAAAGATAAAAAAATGTTTAATAGAATATATATCAAGCCTTCTCAGGAGATGCGTGTGGTCGCATGCTTTATATGACCATACCTACAATTTTTTTTTGACAACTTGGCCACAGTTTTTTGCATATATTGATAATTTTTGTGTTTTAAAAAAATATGCTGAAAAAACCAAACTACTTTAAAGAGAAAATTAAAAACAAACAAACCATAAACTGAAAAAAGAAACAAACTTAACAAATGATAAAATAAGTAAAAGGTAAATCAGAAAAAATAAAAGCATAAAACTTATATACTTTTTTTTTAATAAGCGTCTCAATTCATTCAATTAGTTCAAACTAATTTTAACTTAAAATTTCAATTATTAGTTTGAAGCTAATAATTTTTCCTATATCGTCACATTGATATATCACTTAGGTTGATCAATTGCAGCATTTATGAGGCATGACAGTTATACCAACATAAGATGAGGGTTCAATTCCTACTAACAGATAAAATTTTTTAAATGTTTTATTTGCTATGTAGACATTAAAAATTATCTAAGTTTTAAATAATTAAGTCTCGAAGTAATAAAGCTTGAATTAAGTAACTTTAAAACATTGATTTTTTTAAATCCCTTGAAGTGAATCACTTTTAAATTAAAATTAAAACATACACTAATTTTATGCTTTAATTTCTTTTGGTTTATTTTTTATTAATTTTATCATTTCTTGAGATTTTATATATTTTTAATTTTTCTTTTTAATTTTTATTTCTTTTTTCAGTTTATAGTTTATTTTTAATTTTAGTTTAAGTTTACATTTGTTTATTCAGTGCATTTTTTAAGCGCGCTAACTTAAAACATGCAAGGAGCTGCGGCCAAATTGTCAAAACAAAATAATATATTCATTATTAGTCTCCTAACAATTCTTGATGTATATATAAATAGTCAAAATGTTTTTTGTTTTTAGGGGTCGTCCAAATTTTGTCACACTCAAAGGTGAAGGGGGGAGGGTTAGTGGTTTTGTGAAAACTCATACAGGATTTGTGAAAAAGGAGGAAGGGGGGTCAAAAACAGTCAAAAATTGACTGATGTAATTTATGGACTACCCCTTATTGGTTAAAACTTTTTAATTAGTTAACAGAGTTTTTACTTTGGTTTTTACAATCAAATTTGACTTACAAAGGATTGAGCTTAACTCCTAAGTTTTCTAAACCAAGTCCTTTAGTACATGGAGATCGACCAATAGCAACCACAACTGTGTTGAATATATCACTTTCTTCTTCATTAGTATTGTGATTCATATAAGTCACTTTAATTTTACCTGGGGTCCCCTCTTCTACCTTTTCCATCTAAAATAAACATTGATTAGTAATAAATTATCACTCATGTTTCCATAATTATAAACTTCATAAATGTTGCCATGATAATTAAACATTATGTTGCCAATAATGAAGATGTATAAAAAATATATTAATAGAAAAAAAAAATGCATTAGCAGTGAATGAACCAAAGTATTGAATTCATAGCACCTAAGAAAACTAAATAAATTATTAAGTCCATTCTAACAATCCCTTGAACTATTATTTAACTAAATTAACTATTATTTAAATTTCTTGTGAATTAATGTGATTTTTATTCTTCTGAAATTTTGATTTAAACTTTGTAAAACTACCAATCAGATGAAACATATGACTTTTATCTATATACAATATAATTTTCATTTAGTTCATGTCTTGTTTGACTTTTTCTAAAACAAATATTTTTACTGCAAGTACCTTTACAGCAAATTTATCAAAAAATGTTGCCTTTATTTTAAACTAAGTTTTTTTTTCTTTAAAGAAGAATTTTTTAATTTTCTTTTCTTTAATAAGTTTTAAAATCAATTTTGAAATTTTAAAAAACTAAAACAGTTTAATGGTTAAAACATTTATATTTGTCTACCTTTATTGGCGTATATTTCTTCAAAAATTTAATTCCAATAGTTTCCATGTAATCAACAACTTTGTTTGCCATAAACTGATCAAATCCACGCAAAGGAATTGATCGCATCATAACAGTTGTATCCATCCCTATGCCATGTGTAAAACCAGCACACTCTAAAGCAATGTATGAAGCTCCACAAAATAGAACTTTTCCAGGGACATAAGGCAAAGAAAATATATCGTCACTATAATTAAAAAATATATAATTCAAAAACTATAATTATCAAAGTATAATTTTTATATAGATTTAAAATAATAAGTTAACCTCGTAATGGCGCATTCTTTTGCTCCAGGTATGTCAGGATATGTAGGTCGACCACCTGTAGCTAAAACAAACTTATCAGCAGTAACAGTTTCTACTTTGCCACTTTTGTCAGTCAATTGCAATGTATGGTTATCTAAGAAAGTGGCATACATATTGTAGTACTTCACATTTTTTTGACGAAGGTTAACTTTGTAACCCCAGTTAAGACTACGTATATGTTGTTGTATAGCATCAACCATTTTAGCCCAGTCATGAGAAATATTTTCTTCAATATTCCACCCATAATGACGAGAATCATGGATAGCCTCACCTAAAACAAATGTTTCTGATTAATTTTACAATTAAAAATTACAGACTTTGATATTTCTAAACAATTTCAAAAAAAAAAAAAAATTATATTTGTATATTATGTTTTTTTTAATTTCTTTAAACAAAAAGGAGAAATATTGTGGATTTAAAAAAATGAGAAACAGAAATGGAATACATATTAACAGCATTTATATTTACTTATAAAATATAAAATTAGTGAAAAAAAATTTAGATCTTTTAAAGTCTTACATAAAGTTTGGTCAACTTTACATAGAATCTAATATAGAACAAGGTTTAATTATAAAAAAAAATTGATAAAGGAAAACTATAAATAAAAAGTAGATAGTGGAATGCAAACAGATGATTTTTTAAAAATATCTTAGTCATAAAAAAATAACTTTTTTATTAGTTTTTCAAAAAAAAAAAAAAAAAGTAATCTTTAATAAATTTGTTAATTGGGTACAAATAAAAATAAACAAAAATTCAACAAAACCAAGTTCCTACCTTTTTATTAATAAGTATTAACAATCATATAAAGTATTCTTATTTTAAAACTCCTATGTGTGCATTTATAAAAATTTTTCTTTGATTATATCCAAGGTCAAATCATAAAATAATATTATAAAAAACTTAATTTATTTTATATCATTCTAATTAAAATTAAATCATTTTACATCATAAAAATATATCAAAGATTACTTTTATATCATAAAAATGGAAACTGTTGCTTTTATCTTTATTGTTTCAAGATACTTATGCTCATGCTTGCATGTTAAATCATACTTGCATACATGTATGATATAACCAAAACTTAAAAGTCTAATTTGCGTGAAAGATTACAAATTTGACAAGAAAAAATATAAATAAAATAACAAAAATAACTTCAAAGTAAAGACAAAATAATTCAGGAAAATTTTACCAAGAAGAGCAGCTTGGTGCATTAACTTCTTTGGTATACAACCAACATTAACACAAGTTCCACCTAATCCCCAGGTAGAACCTGCTGGAGATGGAACTACAAAGTCTGCAACTGCAACTTTTGCTCCAAGATCTGCTGCTTCCTGTTAATGTAAGAAAAAAACAAACTAATATATAAACAAAATAAATCTGTTGCCAACAGTAACAATAACATAAGCTAAAAAAAAATTCTATATTAAAATATTTAAAAAGCCACATTTTGTTTCATGAGGTCTAGCTAAGTAAAATGTGTATAAACATTTTTCACACTAAACTACACTATCTATATAGCACGATTGGCTGAGTTTTTACAATAAAACTCTGCAGATAATCTTCACAATATTTTTTCATTTTTATTTTTTTATTGGTCTGTTTAGAACTATAACATTAATCACTATTTTTCTATTGGTCTGTTTAGAACTATAACATTAATCACTATTTTTCTATTGGTCTGTTTAGAACTATAACATTAATCACTATTTTTCTATTGGTCTGTTTAGAACTATAACATTAATCACTATTTTTCTATTGGTCTGTTTAGAACTATAACATTAATCACTATTATAGTTAAACTATAAAATATAATTTTGCTGAACACAATAAAACTTTGCTAATTTATCCGATGACATTTTTACAAAGCAATAGAAAATACACAAGAAGCTTTTAATTCGTTAATTGTTTTCCTTCTAGAGCCTTTCTTCAAGAAATTTTAAATTGAGAATATAATTACAAGACAGTCTGTCAAACCTAAACCCTTAGCCAATGTATACTTACTATGGTTAAATAAATCAGTCAATACGAAAACCTCGACAAACCACATAAATCTGCATATAGAATTGCAGTAAAAACATGTTTTTTAGATATTTTTTTTTTGGTTTTGTGTAGGTATTCTTGGTTTTTCAAGATTCTTGTAGTTTTTTTTTGTTTTTTTTGTTTTACATATTTCAAACTTTTATAAAATGTTTTCAACTTTCTAAAACTTTCTATTTTTAATAATTTCTTTTTTAGTTTTCGAGATCCTATATTATATACAAATAAGTTTCATTCAGTGTTTTACTAAAGTTTTGCTAAAGTTTTACTACTTTACAATACATAACTTTTACTACTACTTTACAATACATAATACTACTTTACAATACATAATAATAGACTTTGCCAAAATAATAGCTTTACAATACATAACAATAGACTTTGACTACTACTTTACAATACATAATAATAAGTTTTACTAAAGTTTTACTAAAGTGTGAAATAATCAAGTTTTACTAAAGTGTGAAATAATCAAGTTTTACTAAAGTTTTTACTAAAGTTTTACTATAAGTTTCATTCAGTGTTTTACTAAAGTTTTACTAAAAAGTGAAATAATCAAGTTTTACTAAAGTGTGAAATAATTAAGTTTTACTAAAGTTTTACTAAAGTGTGAAATAATCAAGTTTTACTAAAGTGTGAAATAATCAAGTTTTACTAAAGTGTAAAATAATCAAGTTTTACTAAAGTGTGAAATAATCAAGTTTTACTAAAGTGTGAAATAATCAAGTTTTACTAAAGTGTGAAATAATCAAGTTTTACTAAAGTGTGAACAGAAAGATCAGTAAGAGAGTTGATAAAATTTTGTGATAGTTAAAATGGCTAACTATTTTTCTGTTGTTTTTTTTCCACTCTAAAATATTTCTCTTTTTAAAATTTGAATTCAAAATTTAATAACAAACATTAATTTTAGCTATGTTTACTTTCTACATTCAGTGTGACCACAGACTACTATATTATTTTTAAAGCTTATTATTAAGTTTTAATTACTGAATAATATGATTACTTTTGATTAGAAATCTGCTTATGTTTACAACACCTCAAAATTATTGTATTCTAAAATAATTTCATAATTTAGTTATTAATGAAATTCAACTATGACAACTGAATTCATCATATTTGCTATTGATATAATCTATGATAAACTGGTACATTAAAGTACTTAAAAAACAATATACTATAATATACCATTAATATACTATCATTTCATTATGCTTTATGAAACTTTAGGCTTTTAAACTTTGGATTGTTTCGTTTATTAATGCCATACCAAACTACATTTGAAAACTACATATTTAATTTAGTATAAAATTCAGTATTTGAGGGTGAGCTGGGATTTAGGGTTTATAGTCAACATAGTCATGTGTAATTAGTGGGATACATATATTTATTCCTCTAGTAAGATGCTTTCTGGGTGGCAATAAGGTGGACAATAATATTAGCCAAGGTGTTGCATTGGTCGTAAAGCCCAAATTTTTGTAAAGATTGGCATTGTTTTATGCATTGTAGAATATTGGCAGTCATCCATTCTTGGTCACAGCAGGTTTCAATAATACGCAGAGGTTGATGTTTATTTTGTGTGTCAATTATAGCATTCTGTAAAGCTGAGAATGTGGGTCAGAGTCAAGATATGCTAAAACACTTTGCATGTCAAGTAGTTGTATGGAAGCAACTTTTATCTTCCCAAGAATGTATTTGGATGCATTTAGGTTTTGTTTGTGTGTTTTATACATATGTTGAGGGGAATAAGAAATGACAGCATTGTGATCGCTGGCGTTTCTAGTGTTCCTCTGCATTAAAATGTGATTAGTATTAAAATTTAGATGGGTCACTGGGCCCATTCTCATTTCAATTTGAAATGAGGATGGACCCAGTGGTTTTAGAGTTTCAAAAGTATAACACTTTGGGGCATTTGTTAAAATAATGTCAAGGCAAGACAATTTAGATACTTTTACTTGAGTAGGTTCATGGTTTATTTGTCATAAGTAGTATTTCTTGCTATTTCTTAATAGTTTAATATCACATCTATTAAAGTTGCCATATATGTAAATCAGTGGTGGAAGGGTACCAGAACAATTGGCTACTGGATCTTCAAGTGAGTAAAAGAGTTCTAAAAACACCAACCAATAAGACACATGAATATCCATTGTATCCTACATGATCCATTATAGCCGACAATATCTATTGTAGCCTACGTGAGTAGCATTTAGCAATTACTATATCAAAGTTTTCACGCTTCTAAAGACATTAAGTAGTATGACAGGATTAGCTGAAAATTGGTGTAGGGGATATTTCCTTGATGGTATTTGTATAGTTATAATGGACTATTACCACAACTCCATCTGCCTTTTAGGTAATCCTTTTTGAGATAACAATTGCATTTTTAAAAAGTGATGAGGTATTTTCAAAACTCTTGTATACTGAATACAATGCTATGTGTGGTGGAGGTAAGCCATGTTTCAGTGAAGAATCCATTATGTGCATTTGTGTCTTCTTATACTTGAACAAAGTGTAAGTACTTTAAGGCAAGTTAAACGTGTGTTGGTAGTGAGTATAATTAGCAATTATACTCACTAACAACACACAAAAATCCTTGATACAAAAAAACTATAACTAAAAAACTTTGTAAAAACAAATTCTTTATTATCAAAATTTTTTAACATGCCTTGAATTAACTTTTATAGTCATCCTAATAAAACTAACACCAAGCTGGATGCTTTTAATACAATTATTGAAGTTTTTCCTAACCTAAAAAAGTACATTAAAATCATATATATATATATATATATATATATATATATATATATATATATATATATATATATATATATATATATATATATATATATATATATATATATATATATATATATATATATATATATATATATATATATATATATATATATACATATATGTATATACATATACATATACATATATATATATATATATATATATATATATATATATACATATATATATATATATATATATATATATATATATATATATATATATATATATATATATATATATATATATATATATATATATATATATATATATATATATATATGTCTTAGTTGTCTAAGTCTTAAAAAAATGATTTTTGATTTCAATATATATTTGTAACATACAAGTTTGTAATATTAGCTTAAAGAAAGTATTAATATATATTTGTAACATTGAGGAAACCTCAATTAAGTTGACCCAAGCATCAGCTGTGAAATTCAAGGGCTTAACTGCCTTAACTTTGATTTTAGGTTTGAAATCTCAATTTTTTTTTGATTCCTAATATGCAGGATTTAGGTGAGAGCATGATCACTTACAACACCATCATCTAGTACCATAGCACAAAGGAAGTTTTCTTGAATTGGCCATTTTTGCTTTTAATGCAGCCTTAGCCATATTAAGTCTATGTAGTATTTTTAATAACTATTTGCTTTTCAAACTCGTCACTTACAGCTATATCTTAAGTTGATGATTTAATAATAAAACTTTCATCAGAACTAACATCTTGCTTTTTAGTAGCCTCTATTTTCTCTCTAATAAACTTTTTTGCAACCCTTGTTGCCACTAATTGGTCCATACTGCCTAAATTCCAACTTCTTTTTGGTCTTATCTTGGATCTTTGGTCTTTTAAATATTCTTTTTCCATAACAGGGATTTAAAACAAGTAAGGTATTATAAAATTAAAAGAAATATAAAGTCTATTTATGTTATGAAATATAAAGTCTTGGTCAAATAATTAGAGATAAGCAACTGATGCTCTTTTCTTTTACTTAATCTGAAGTGAAGTGTATCTGTAAATGCATAATAATATTGGTAAAAAAAATTTTGTTCTGGTAAAAATTTTGTGTTACTTTTTTACTTTCCTCACAGAAAAAAATTATGTGTTTCATTTTTCACTTTTCTGACATACAGCAATGAATGTTTAATGTTTTACTATTAAATTAAAACCATTTTAAATATATTTGTTGCATAGACTTCTGCAAATCTATAACAATTAATATTGTTATAATTCCACATAGAAACATACAAACAAATCATAACGTATTATTGAGTTATTAATATCGTATATCAAATCCATAGCAAAATTAGCATCTGCTAAGGTTGCATCTCTTTATCATGCTCAACACTTTCTTGCTTTAGATTCTATTCTTTATCTCTATAAATTTCAAGTTCGCCTTTGCATGGAACACTGTTTGCCATATGTGGGGCGGATCTTCTAATGATGCCCTTTCTTTTTTAGATAAAGTGCAAAAACGCAATGTAATCATAGTTGGACCTGCACTTCTAACACCTCCAACCAATATCAAATGTCGTAATGTTGCTTCTCTTTCTCTTTTCTCAAATACTATAATGGACACTTTTCTAAAGAGCTAGCACCTCTTGTTTCATCTACAAAAACATATTTTCGTGTTACTCGTCATTCAATTAAGTCTCAACCATTTTTTGTGACTGTTCCTAAGTGCTCTAAAAACTCTTATTCTTCTAGTTTTTTCCCTTGATCATCAGTTATTTGGAATTCGCTATCTTCATTTTGTTTTCCTATAATTTCAAATCTTTTAAGTCATCTGTCAATTGTTATCTTGCTTTACAAACTTTATCTTTTCTCTTCCAGTAACTTCCAACTCTAATAGTGGTTACTTGCAGCCTTGTTGGAAGTGAAGATGTTAAAAAATATATACATATAATAATTAGTTATGAGTCCAAATAAAAGCATGAAACAAAATACATTACACAAAAACATTATTTATCCAATTAAAAGCATGATACAACTGTTAATGTTATTTAAAACATAACAGCTGCATGATAGATTAAAAAATAGCAAATGCTTAACATACAATCATAAGTGAACTAAATTGTTTTTAAGTGTTTACATATTATGTATCCATTTAATAACAATTAGTTTACATTTAGTTTGGTAAATAGTTTTTTTATCAACCATAAAGCGCTGTTGTTACTGTTTTAAATTGGTCAATATCATAATAATAAAACAATCTGTAAGTGTTGGTTTATTACCGGACCTTAATTGACTCCACTGTGAAAATTGCAAGTTTTTCTTTTGTATTTCCAAAAAAGATTTAAGCATTTTTGTATTTTTATTTTTTACAGTAATTAATATATATACAATAGATAAACTGCACACTGAGCCAAGAGCTATCCCATACATGACAGATATATATATATATATATATATATATATATATATATATATATATATATATATATATATATATATATATATATATATATATATATATATATATATATATATATATATATATATATATATATATATATATATATATATATATATATATATTTATTTTTATATAATCTATACATATTATCTTTTTAAAGTTATGAAAAAAAAAATTATAATTTAATAAACTTCAAAAATTTTAAAGACTTTGGTAGCCGTTGCACAAACAGCTATTTATTAGTGGTTCAGATGTTAATAAAATAATATTTAGAATACCAGCTTAAAATGTGTTAATTACAATCGGTATAAAAAATTTTAAAAACATGTGGAAAATAGATTTTAAAATATTAAGAATGGTAAATCTATTCCACACTGACCATTTCTATTGATAGAAATTGATTATATATTGATAAATATTAATGATAAATATATAAGAATTTTCTTAATTGTTAAGAAATTTTTGTGTTAAGAATTTTTTTTAATTCTTAAAAAACCTAATTTAACTTTCTAAAAAGTTTTTATTTTTATTTTTTTTTCAAACTATCTGATACTTATTAGGACTCTAGCCCTATTAAATGTGTAGACTTAACTTAAACCTAAGCATATTAATAATATAAGTATCTCTTTCATGATTTGTGCGCAACAAATTTTTTCAGATGTTTTGACATTTTTAGAAATATAAAACTTTTAAAAAAATTCTTTCCATTTCATTTTTTATAGTATATAATATCTTTGTGTATGTTATAATATCTATAGAGCTTTTAAAATGTTTTATTTTGCATTTTAAAAATTTTTTAAAATTTAAAAAAAAAAAAAAAAAGGCTTCCATTGTACATCACAAACCTTAGCAATGTACAACGGAAGCGCAGCAAGCTAACCATTTCGGCCACTTAGGCATACGATACAAATAGTTTTTAACATTTATTGAGCCAAAAACTATAACTTTATAAAACGGCAAATAAATGCTATAAATTAAAATTAAAGAGATACTGCTGCACAAAAATTATGGAGACATTCTTAAATAGTTTACAATTTAAGAATACTTTTAAGCAAAAAAGTTTTTACTTAAAAGTATTAAAAAAAGAGTTTACTGAGTTTAGTATGTGTCATCACAACTTTTTTTCCTCTTTCTTGCAAAATTGCCCATATACACAATATCTAAGTTTAACACCTTGGTTTGACACTTGATTGTTTTGACAGATTATTAAAGTGCCATCTAATTTAAAATTTTAACTTATTTGTTTAAATAAACACTTAGCACCTTGTTTTGTGCATTTTTTAAGCAGTTAAAATAGTTATGAAAAATTTTCTATTTAACAATCAGAGTGTAAAAAACTTCAAAAATGCTTCAATTATTACTTGTTAGAGCTTTTTTTGTAACTAGTATTTTTTCATATTTCATGTTGCAAATCAATCAATGCGTTGAAAATAAAATATTCAAATTACTTAATGTAAACTTTACATGACTTTTATAATTTGACCTATACTTCATGACCATTTATAATGTAGGTACTAAGTATGTTAAATACCTTTGAACAAGCAAGACCACCAGATCCACCACCTATGACAAATAAATCAAAGTCGTACTTAACAGCATCACCTTGCCAAAGTTTTTGCAAACTTCCATTTTGATATGCTTTTTCTGTATCACTGCATCCGCCAATATGCTTTTCACGGATAAATATGTTGGGTACTGTTTCTTGATTTGTTTTTTGAAAGAGAATTTGTTCAATTTCAGGGCCATTAGCTAAAAAAAAATTTTAAACATTTATATTTATAGAAGGATTTTTTTCTTTAAAAAATAAAGTCTCCATTAAGGGTTAACTCTCAATATTAATTGAAATATAAGTGACAACCATTAATTCATACTCTCCAAACTGTTTGTTGCATTTTTATCACAGAAACAGCCACTCTAACAATAAAGCTTTATATAAACTGCAAAATAAATATAAATTTTGAAAGATTTTCAGAACTTTTAATAATTTATTTGTTCATTTCAAGTTATTCAAGTTTTTTAAATTTATTTTTAATTTAATTTTTTATTAATAAAAATATTTTTTTTCTCCACAGCAATTGGTTCCATAGAATCATTTTCACAGTAAAAGGTTGATTAATAAATTGTAAATTTTTGTTTAAGTTTCTTCTGTAGATAAAACCTTTTTTAAACAAAAAAAAAAATCTAATCATTTTATACATTAAAGTGTTCATGTACACTTGGGTAATTGTTCTTGCATTGCCCCCAGGGTTTATCTAATTTTAAATTAAATGAAACTGGTCAAAAAATGAATTACTTTTGCTGTTTTCTTTGTTGACTATGATAACACTAAAAAAACATGAAAAACTTTTTTTGCAGACAATTAATAAAATGATAATTACTTTTTTGCATTTTGGTTTTAATCAATAGACCTCTTCACAGTTTCGATAATATCGTGTGCACGCATATTTAGTAGTATGCCAAGGTTCCTTATGCGCAGAATTGCATGAAACAAAGTAAATACACAGATATATTAAAGCATTCTTGAAAGAAACAGTTGTTTACATGAGATTTCTTTTTCTTTTTTTAATAATAAAGACATCAATTTTGCTTTTTTTAAGTTTAATTAAACTATTTTAAGTTTAAATTTATACTATTTATATATTTATACTCATTACATGGATGAAATTATTGGAACTGTGAAGATGTTTATTATCTCTTTCTTTTCTTGATTGTTATTATATTTATGTCATAATAACACACCTTATTTTATAGACAACGAAAATAACTATGCTATCTTTTTTTATAGCAGATTTTGGAAGAAACTAATATCTGCTATTTAACTTTGTGGTACATGTAGAACTGCTTTCAGAAAACACCATGAAGGTATTTAAGTAAAATGCAGCTGTGGTGTAGTAATTAGAGTTGTAATTTCAGAACTGGAGGTCCTTGGTGATTAAAGCCGGCTTTGGTAAAGAAGGAGGCATGATTTTCCTGGTTAAATGCTATTCTGCAGTGCTCTGTGATAAGACCTTTAGGACTTCTTGATGCACTTGAAATTAATGATTTAAAAAAAAACTGCCACAGCTTTATTAATTTGTATAGATTAATGTAAAAACACCCACATAATAAAATCCATGTGAATGTTCTATTTGCTGTGTTTACAGTTTGAAATTGAAGGAAAAGCACCCTCTTGAAACAACAAAAATAGATGAAAAAAGGTTTGACAAAAGGAGCTAAAAAAATTTGTCTCTGATTGGTAGAGGGCTACCATATCAATGATTAACTATGCATATTAAAGAGAGTTTATGCTGCAAATGAAAGTTACAGAGCAGATTGCATCATCAAAAATCATAAATAAGGAAATAAGAAAATTTCTACTCATGGAACCATTCAATTTTTTATAAGCCAAAGATGGATAAATGTTTCTTATAACTGCAGGTAACAAAATATCCTTATTAAAGCATTTTATTTGGGCAACAAGTAATGACTTTCGCTGTATTTTAGAACCATCAAACGCAAAACAGCTATTTAAGGATCAACCAGTTGTAACAGCTTAAGATATTGTTCAGGTAAAAATACAGTGTTTTGCCAATGTTGGGAATATTAATTGCTATTATTCTTCAAAATATTAAGAATTCTTATTGATTTTGTCCAATTACTTCAAAAAAAAAAAAAAAAAGGAAAAAAAGAGGTCATTCTGAGGAATTCTGAAGTATACGTGGTGACATTAGGCTGGCTAACAGCCTAATGTCACCACGTATACTTCAGAATTAACCTAATGGCATTTATAAACTCCATTTTATAAACCTAATGGCATTTATAAACTCCAACAAATCATTCTCAAACTACGTTGTTACACAATGTAAGAGCCTTGACTCTATAATTAAAGATTTAGATTTAGTCTTACAACATTTTTTTAAACCACATCGTTAAATGGGGGATTGTTGAGGGTGCAGAATTTTTATAAGTACGTCTTGGAGTTTCTGAATTGAAATTAGAACACAATGATTTTTCACTTTCTAGCCAACACTTGCTTATATCCTAAGCATCAAAAGATATTGATGCAAAAAGACAACTTTTTGCGGTTGTGGCTTAAGGTGTTCAAGAAAATCACAAAAATATAAAGCTCATTCTTTCGCTTCTTGACATCCATGAGGTGAAATTAGTGATCTCTTGTGAGATCAATAATTTTTTTTTGTTCCACAGAAGAAATGCCACTAGGAATTTATAGAGAACAAACAATAGAACCAATGCACCATTGCTTTAATTTACATTGGGAACGATACAAACACCCAAAAAATCATTTAGAATATAGAATAGCTTCAACAGCAAGAGTTTTTGAAGAAAACTTAAACCTAACTGAAGAATACCAAAGATTATCAATTTTTAAATTGATAACTTTTGGTATTCTTCAGTTTAGTTGAATGCTTGAAAGAGTGTTAACAAGTAGAAATAATATACTTTTATATATCTTGCTTATATTATTTGATTATGAATGCTGTAAAAACAAACACCATGTACTAGACTTTATGATTTTTATTTTGGGAATGTTGTGACAAAGATTTCTGGACCTAACAATTCTTTACTTAAATAAATCAAAGATTTATGATACTAATGTTATAAAATATTATTGAACTTGCTGCAGTTTTGGTGTGTTTTTTTTTAGTTTTAAATAAAAAATTCATGCCTCCTTCCTTATCAATGTCACATAATATGCCCAAACCTCACTTCGAACCTGGGATCTCTAAAGCACTTGCTTGCTAAAGCACTCGCAGTGGTTAGAGTGCTTGCTTCTAAAGCAAGCACTCTAATTACTGTTCTATGGCAGCTTTAGTTGAGACTCTATTTTCTAATCTCTTCTAATTTTTGCAAAACCTATACATACAAAGTAAAAAAGTTTTAAGAGATGATAGAAAAGAACTAGCTGAGCTACCTGAGAAATATAAAAATTAAGAAACTAGAAACTGTTTACTATGCAATATTCCCCAGAAATACCATTTATTATCTCTTAATACAACTAATGTTGTTTAAGGTCTGCAAAATAATTTACTATTTAAGTGTTTAAAATAAAACAGCAAAAGTAGTCTGGTTCTGTTTTCAAAAATTCAAAACTTTTGTTTTTATTTGAAAATATAGATTGATACAAGTATTATATTTAAAAAAATCAGTTCAAAAATTTCACATTAATTTTTCCTCTTAATATTTACATTTTTTGACTGTTGTAAACGATTCCTGGTGAAGGCATGAGAATGATCCAACCTGACTATTTTTTTCCTAATTCAATTTTTACACATTGCCCCATATTTCAAGAAGTAGTATATTGAAATTCTAAAATTTCCTTAAGTTTCTAATGTACATGTTGAAACATGATTTTTAGAATATTTGCAATGACTGTTATAAACTACTATAAAGTCTATAAATATTTAAAAACAAAATAGAGTAGAGTAATACAGACTAATTAAAGAAAGGAGAAATATATATAATGACAAATTTAAATAAAAAAAAAATTTTTTTAATTACTGTGCTATTTTAAATATGTCCATTAATTTTTTGCCAATATTATTTTTTTATCTGAACAACTTAGCTGCTAAACTAAAATTAAATTTTTAACAAAAACAACCTCAAAAATTATAGTAACAAAAGTTTTTTATAGAGTTTAATTTTAAGTATAAAATCTTATATTACGAAAGATAAATTAAAGAAAGTAATTTTTTTACAACAATAAAAAAGGGAATAACATTTTTACCCTCTAAATCCAGTTCGTATGCTTTATATTCATAGCCCAACTTTGAAAACAGGTCTTTAACCTGTAATAATAAAGAAACTAAAAAGATTAGTAATCATCTTGTGGTAAAGATAAAGCAATATTGCCAGTCTAGATAAGTCAAATAAGTGTCCTTAATAAGCCTTAAATTACTTTAATAAATCTTTAATTACTATAATTAATCCTGTCAGGTCAGATTCAGGTTCATCGCGATCACCCTACTACTGGTATTATGTAAATCAGTACTACCTGCTCCATTCTCTTCTGCCTAATTGAGAGTGCTTATTTAGATAAAGGCTAGGAGAAACAAACTCTGACTTAAAAATCCCCTCCCTTGAAGCTCTTGGTTGAGTAAAGCCTAGAGGTGGTGTCTCGATATAAATACTCATATTGGGCAGAGTTTAACTACATCCAGCTACTGTCTTGTAGGAGGCCTCCTAGGCAAAGACTTTAGGGGTAAGCAGAGTAATCCTGCTAATCAGCCTTGAATCCATTATCCAATTATTAGACTGGCATAGATGTAAACCTGTGTTACATTGTTTCCTGCCTAGGATGATAAATTCTGGATCATCTTGACTTTTTTCATAGGTTTTTCCTCCTTGATAGTCACTATGCAATTCTGTTATCTCCGAATGAGGGTACAGTTCTAAAACTCAGTTTAATGGTTCTGAGGCCAACTGGTAGTAAGGTTTCCCGAACTCTGTGGTAGCTCTCACAGATTCCATCAACAGCTGCAAAAATTCTGAGTATTAAAAAAGCCATGTTGCACATGGATGGTGTCCTTGTTAATGCATTTGGTGAACATTGTTGAGGACACGTATGGAGCCGTATATTACAATTTAAGGTTAATTAACAGGACTGAGAAAATTGCATACCTCATAGCTTAGGTGGCTATGTTCTATTTATAAAAGTCAAATTTTCTTTAAAATTAAATCACCCCAAAAGTAACCTAAAATATTAAATATAAAAAACCATCCCTGCCAAATAACTGTTTTATTATATCTTTTGCTAATATTCATGGTCTGCTAAGCAACCTTACATCAGTTGAATCTTACCTCTAGCAAAATTCAACAGACTTGCTTGTGTGAGACTAATTTAAATTCTGCTATTCCTTCTTCTGACCTTAGTGTTGATTGGTACTATCCATTGATTTGCAAAGACTCCAATAGTTACCTCTTCACCCTATCACCTTTCTCTTTGTTCTTTATCGTTCTCCTTTTTCTCAAGACTGCACTCTTTTAGATGTTCTGATTAAATTGACCATGCCCTCTCTCTTTACTCCTCTGTCAATATTATTGTTATTGATGACTTTATTGCTTATCACATTGAATGACATGGCTCTAACGCCACTGACTCTGCTGGTACTAAAGCTTACTATAACTTCTGCATTTCTCAATCTCTAAATCAGATAGTTAACTTTGTGACTAGTTTCCCTAACAACACTAATCACTTACTTTCACCCCTTGAATTATGTCTGGTCTCTGATCCTAGCTTGAATTCAGTTTCTCCTTTTTCTCCTTTAGGTGGTTCTGACCATGCTATAATCTCATTAAACCTTTCCTCTTATATTTCTTTTTCCAACTTACCCATCATCACATCATCGCAGGACTCAATTTAACGTTTGGACATCAGACATTGACTGGCTAAAACCTCAGTCATTGTCAGGCTAAAACCTCAGTCCAATCAATTTACAAAATAATCAGATATTTTGACCGACAGGAACTAAATTCTACAAAATAAAGCTTGCACTGGAATAGTGTGCAATTGAACGCTATTGCTAAACATGCAAATGATTTTTTATGTTTACAAGTTGACCACGACTTTTTAGATGTTTTGATGATTTAAACATTTCAGAATAACGCTGAAAAAAGAAACCTAAACTTAAACTAGTAAAAAATTTAAAAAAAACTAAAGAATAAGCAAAACAAAATTCCTTACAAAAAAGAAAATAAATTAGCTTTAAAATTAAACTAAAAAAAACTTGAATTAAAAATTACTTTTTGTTAAGTTTTTTATTACATTTAAAAAAAATTAAATTAAAATTATCTTTTAAAATGTTTAATTAGAGTTACACAAAATGCTTACACAAAATGCTTATACAAATTGTCTTTATTAATTGTTTAGTAAATATACAAATTTTATTTAAATGATTAAAAAAATTATTGAAAAAAATATATATGATATTTTTAAGTTGTATTAATATTTTTTTCAAAAAGTTGCAAAAAAAACTTTTTTTTTAAATGCCGTCTTTTAAAATTGTAATTTTTAATCATTTCATGCTTTAATCAGTAAGTCAAGTTAAAAAAAAAACTTTTAAACAATTGTTTGTAAAAATAGAAACAAAAAAAAATAAAGCAATTAAATCATGGGAAGATTTAATTTAACTTATTCATAATTTAAAGTAACTTAAAAAAAAATAATCTTTTAAAAGATTTTAGGAAAGACATGGAAAAATACATGAAACTTTAACTTACAGCATGAAAATTTCAGTCTATCTAAAATAAAAATTGAAACTACTTTATTAAAAAACAAAAATCTGTGTTAAAATATTCTAAATAATAAGAAAAGAAACTACAAATTCACTAGACTAGCGTTAAATAAACTGAATAACATGACAATGATTTTGATAGAAAAAACCATAAAACTGTAAAAATTATATTTTTAAAATTTGATCAGACATAGTCCGACCCAAACAAGTTTAGATTGAACATTTGGCCCGGGACTTTATAAAGAATTAAATAGAGCCCTGTCATCGTACTACTTACTACTTACTAAAGCTGACTGGGATTCTTTTTGTGGCAGTTCTTAGGCTGATGTCTTTTCCCTGTCAGCTGAAAAATGTGCCTCCTATGTAACCTCCTGGATTCAGGTAGGAATGGAAGTTTTTATTCCTTCTCCTTGGTTCCAAGTCAAGCCTCATTCTACTCCATGTAGAATAAAGGCTATTGCTCTTGATATTACTAAAGCATTCAACAAAACTTGGGATGCTGGTCTTTTCCATAGGCTTGCTTTATATGGTGTATCTGGGAAAGTTTTTGAGATTATCAAATTGTTTCTTTCTAACTGCTTTATTAAAATAATCATTGAAAGCCAATGCTCTTCTTCCTTTCCAGTAACTTCTGTAGTATCTCAAGGTTTTACCCTTGGTCCTGTTTTGTTTCTTATCTACATTAGTGATCTCCTCAAAAACCTTACATCTGAAGTAGCTCTTTTTGCTGATGACTCAACTTTATACTCCTGTCTTGACAAAAAGCCTTCTCTTATTGATCGCTTAGAACAGACAGTTGATTTTGAATCTGATCTCACTTCTGTAATAGATTGGGGCTCACAGTGGCTTGTAAATTTAACCTCCACCAAAACAAAGTTATTTACTGATAATAACTATCGCAATACTGTATTCCTATATTAATGAATGTCAACAGTATTGCAATACCAACCCTCTCACTGAGTCATCTTCTTTACATCTATGAATTATTGTTTACTACTGACCTTTAATGGAGACCATATATATAATCTTTTCTAAATTAGCATTGATAACCTAAATTAGCATCTGCTAATGTTCCTTCTCTTTATCATGCTTGCCATTTTCTCTCACCTGATTTCATTCTCTACCTTAACAAATCTTTTATTCATCCCTGTATGGAATACTGTTGTTTGGGCTGGTTCTTCTAATGATGCTCTTTCTCTTCTAAACAAGGTTCAAAAACACATTGTAAATGTAGTTGGACCTGCTATATTTGCTAAGCTTGAGCCTCTCTCCCATTGTTGTAAAGTTGCATTTCTATCTCTTTTCTACAAATACTATCATGGATGCTGCTTAATTTTTATCTGCTCTATTTTTATCTCTTATTCCATCAACTAAAACTCATTCTCATTTTTCTCATCATTTTTGTCATCTTTTCTCACCATTCTCACCAAGTCTCATTATTTTACTGTATCTGTCCCTGCTAGCTCTAAAAAATTTATTCTTCTAGTTTTTCCCCTGCACTTCAACCCTTTGGAACTCTCTCCCATTTCATATTTTTCTGACTCATACAACCTTCAATTTTTTAATTTTTCTGTCCCTTTTCTTGCTCTGATTCTTTTTTTTCTCGTAACTCCCAACTTAATGTGGTTGTCATAACTTAATGTGGTTGTCGTAACTTAATGTGGTTGCTTGCAGCCTTGTTGGGAGCGAAGCGGAATAATAAAAAAAAGTCAATAAGTCAAATTAGTTATTTAAGCCATTGTATAGTTAGTTTTATACAGTTGAACTTCTAAGAATAAGAAAGTCAAAAAATTATTTAAAAAACATTAATAAATACAACTTATTGTTAGCATATTGTTAACTTGTTGTTACTTATGAAGATTATCTTATAAATGAAGATTTAACATAAAGATTACGTCATTAATGTCATAAATGAAAATAAAACCAAGTTACTGTATGAAAAATAAAACAAACCTTGTTGCAGTACAAACAAAAAATCAAATATTGTTGCAGTACGAACAATAAAACAAACCTTGTTGCAGTAGGGACAATAAGATTTTGAAAAAACCATTATTTTATTATCTTTAATCAAACTCTCAACAAAATTATTTATTGGCGGCATTTTGGTGCTGAAACTTCTTTTTAAAACTGTTTTTTGAAAAGCTGAAAAAAAACAACACTTTTTTATAAAAACTCTAAAAAGCATGCGTACTAAACAATTACAAAAGTTGGTATAAGTGCAATTTGCCATGTTTAGTCTTGTATAATCACAATAAAAACTATTTCTATATTTAGAACAATTTATTTTTATCTTTTAAATTGAATTAAAAGCTATTATAACTACTATAAGTTGTATAATTGCTTATTACTTAAACTTCATACATTTTTTGCATTGAAAATATTATGTATTTGTAAAAACTGATAAACCAAAAATTATTGAGCATTAGATAACTTATAACATTTTTAGAAATTGCAAGTGCCTTATTTTTGTTAAATTATAGTTAAAGAGGACAAATGCATGATTTATAATTATATATATATATATATATATATATATATATATATATATATATATATATATATATATATATATATATATATATATATACATGATTTATAATAATATATATATATATATATATATATATACATATATTTATATATATATATATATATATATACATATATATATATATATATATATATATACATATATATATACATATATATATATATATTTATATATTTATATTTATATATATATATATACACATATATATATATATATATATATATATATATAAATATATGTATATATATATATGTATATATATATATATATATATATACATATATATATATATATATATATATATATACATATATTTATATATATATATATATATATATATATATATATATATATATATATATATATATATATGTATATGTATATGTATATGTATATGTATATGTATATATATATATATATATATATATATATATATATATATATATATATACATATATATATATACACACACACACAACTCTCCAGAGTTTTTGAATATTGGAACCACAGATGCCATTTTACAACAAGCAGGAAAACAAGACTCAGTCAAACACTTGTTGAATAGTTTAGAGAGAATTGAAGAAAGTTCTGGAGAACAATTCTGCAAAACTGTGACAGGAATGTTGTCTGGACCACAAGCTGTAGACGAGTTTAATTGAGATATGACTTTAGCAACAGAAGCCGGAGTGATTTGAATGTCTAATAATGGGTCAACCTGTTTGACTGGGATGGAAGGAAGAGAATGTCCATAAGATTCAAGAGTGAAATTAGAAGAAAAGTTCTTTGCAAATAGTTCTGCCTTTTCCTTGGGAGAGGTAATAAGATCAGTCCCATGAATAAGAGATGGAATGTTAGATCTACCCTTGTTAATAATGCTGTTAAAGATTTTCCAAAAGTCTTTAGAGCCTAACTTCTGTGATAAGATGCGAGATTTAGTGAACTGAGAATAATGGAGTTTAGCATCAGAAAGCACCTTTTTCAATCGATTTCTTGCAATAATAAATAGCCGTTTGTTTTCAAGAGAGTTGTTTTTTTGAAAAAGATGAAAAAAATGATTACGATTGGATATAGCAGCCGCACAAGAAGGAGAAAACCATGGAGTAGAATGAGGCTTGACTTGAAATGCCTCCTACGTAACCTCATCATCCAGGAGGTTACGTAGGAGGCACATTTGTCAGCTGAGAGAGAAAAAACATCAGCCCAAGGACCATCACGAAGAAAATCACGAAAGGAATCCCAGTCAGCTTTAGGGTAGTAGTAGGTGGTGCGATGATAAGGTGAGCCCAAAAAAGAAGTACGAGAAGAAAGATTTATAGAGATCATTGCATGGTCAGAACCACCTAAGGGAGAAAAGGGAGAAACTGAACATAAGCTAGGGTCAGAGACAAGACATAAGTCAAGGAGTGAAGGTAAATGATTAGGGTTGTCAGGAAAATGAGTCACAAAGTTAACTATCTGAGTAAGAGATTGAGAAACGCAGAAGTTAAAGGCTTTAGTGCCAGCAGGATCAGTGGTGTTAGAGCCAAGCCATTCAGTGTGATGGGCATTAAAATCACCAACAACAACAATATTGGCAGAGGGGTAAAGAGAGAGGGCATGGTCAATTTGATCAGAGATAACATCTAAAAGAGTGCAATCATGGGAAGGAGTACGATAAAGAACAAAGAGAAAGGTGATAGAGTGAAGAGGTGCTAGGCGAAAGCACATAAAAGAATGGTCAAAAGATTCGACCCTGATTTCATGACAAATAGGGGAATTAATGTGTATGTATACCCCTAAACCTAGCATGTGACTATTGGAGTCTTTACTAATCAAAGGATAGTACCCATCAACACTGACATCTGAAGAAGGAATTGCAGAATTTAAATTTGTTTCACTGAGTGCAAGCAAGTCTGGTAAATTTTGCAGGAGGTAAGACTCAACTGACGAAAAGTTGCTTCGCAGACTGCGAATATTTGTAAAAGATATATTAAAACATTTTGGTGGTGGGGATGGTTTTTTAGGTTTAAAATTTTTGGTTACTTTGGTCATGATTTGGGTTTAATGAGAACTTGACTCATTCATAGATAGAGCACAGCCTCCTAATCAATAAGCTATGCAGTTGTCTCAGTCCTGTTAATTAACCCTAAGCCGTGACATAGGGCTCCTTATGTGGCCTTGACAATGCACACCAAAAGCATTAACAGGGACACCATCCATGCGCAACATGGCACTGTTAATACTCTGATATTTTGCAGCTGTTGATGGAATCAGCCTCTCTGAGAGCTACCACAGAGTTCGGGAAACCTTACTACCAGCTGGCCTCAGAACCATTAAACTGAGTTTTAGAGCTGTACCCTCATATGGGGATAACAGGAAGAGTTGCATAGCCATTATCAAGGAGGCAAAACTCTATGAGTAGAGTCAAGGAGATCCAGCATTCATCATCCTAGGCAGGAAACAATGTAACACAGATTACATCTACGCCAGCCTAATAGATGAAGAAGGGGTTCGAGGCTGGTTAACAGAATTTTTATGCTTACCCCTAAAGTCTTTGCCTAGGAGGCCTTCTACAAGACAGTAACTGGATGCAGTTAACATCTGCCCAAGATGAGTATTTTTATCGAGACACCATCTCTAGCCTTTACTCAACCAAGAGCCCAAAAGCAGGGGATGTTTATCTGGATGCAGTTAACATCTGCCCAAGATGAGTGTTTTTATCGAGACACCATCTCTAGCCTTTACTCAACCAAGAACCCCAAGGCAGGGGAATTTTTAGACTGAGTTTATTTCTCCTAGCCTTTGTCTAAGAAGAGTTTTGTTTTGGCAGTTAAAAGCTGGGACTTTAAGCAACACTACTATGCATACTACTATGATTTTCTTTACTATGATACTAAATGCATACTACTATGATTTTCTTTATATATATATATATATATATATATATATATATATATATATATATATATATATATATATATATATATATATATATATATATATATATATATATATATATATATATATATATATATATATATATATATATATATATATATATATATATATATATATATATATATATATATATATTGTTGTTTCGATTTGAGAGTGATCAATATAAAGTGAAGTAATCACAAAATAGATCAATAAATAAATAGATGAGAAAAAACAACTTTTTTACGGAACTTAAAGTTTCATGCCGTTTTCGGCACTCATCAGCCATATATTTAAATCAAGAAAAAACCGTTCAAAAATACAATTAAAAAACCGTTACAAAATTCAAAAAAAACAATGGAATGAGTTCTGACGTCAAATAATTATAATACAAATAATAGCAATAATAATAATGATTATAATAATAATAATATAATAATAACAACAATAATAATAATAATAATAATAATAATAATAATAATAATAATAATATTATGGAAAAAACATATTTTCTAATCGCCAGTGTTAAATTGAGAAAGGAGGAATCTGTTTCTATGTCTGCACTTAGAAACAATCTCACTCCTTTTATTTAGTAGATTGGTATTTTTATAATTTAGGATTTTATATTTTTTGGTGAGACATAATTTACAAGATTTGGATGTAGGATTATATGCTTTACATCGTCTGAGAATTTTCCACTTAACTATAGGAACTAAATTGGCTTCTTTTATTTTCCATACCTGCTTTGACAGCTCAGTATCATTTTTGTATTTTGGGATGTTAAAAGATTTAACGTGGTTAGCGTATCTCAATTTAAAAGAAGTCTCACTTATACCGATGTAGGATTTTTCGTTAGGAGATGAATCACAAGTGGTGGT